GAAGCGCAGGGCGAGTAAAAAAAAAGTGGAACCGAAAAACAAAGAACCCATTTCGTATAATAACAGTTAAAGCTATAGTCCATCATTTGCAGCTATCCAAAAAGTAACTGGTGTAATTATTGTTGAAAAACATACTTGGTTGAAAGATAGTAAGGGGACTAAACTACCTGTGAAATTATCCTTTCTGGCAAGCTGTCATTTTCAAGTAATCAACGAAAGAAGGCCTTTCCAACGGTGCTTGTTAAGAGGCACCGTAGGAAATTTAAATTAGTAGTTCGTTTTGTTATTCGGCGAAGCGTGCGCAAGCATTGGCATGACGCACACGCACGCGCGCGGTTGCTATAATTCGTCGGATGAGTGCGCGACATCGCGTTGCTGCAATCGGCTCAGTGAGAACGTGTCTCGGACGCTGAACTCAGGCCCAATTCAAAACATGATTCAGCAGCTTTTGATTTGAAATTGAGATCCTAGAATGCTGTTTTTCTCGGAATATACAGCTGAAGCTGAGCTGAAACTTCATCAGGTCAGTTGTTCAGTACCCTTCTTTAGATTTTGAGCACTTTTGTTGCTCCAAACGAACAAATTACAAATGATGGACTATATCTTTAAGCAGTGAGCATAAACAGGGTCCTGGTATTCTAGCCAATGGAAATGTCATCAAATATGACAAGCAAATAAAAAACAACAATTACAGTGTATATGTACGCAAACATTTACAAAACCCAACGTACACTTGATGTACATGACAATGTAAACAAACAATGTACATGTACGTTATGCGGCACACACATAGTTAAGTTGGCGTAGCGGTATTTTCCTCGCCTTCCACTGCTGTGACCCGTGTTCGAATCCCACCTGGGCCAATATGTGGATTGGGTTTTCAGTCCCTACCTGATTCCATGGGTTTCCCCCAGAATATCTTCTGGGCTTTTCCTCCCACCTCTAAAACTGTTTTTTCTTCTCATTGTCTTCTCTCTAAGTTGGTGTGATGTCTCCCCTGGGATGCTTTGCCGACTATATGATACAGATACAGATACTTTTCACTTAATATTACAAAACAAATATGAATAAAAACATGCATAAATATGTGTCAATAAATGCAAACAAAGAAACAAAACAAAACTTCAAAAAGTACCGTACATAGAAAAGTAGTTACCAAGTTGTCCAGAGTGCTTGAAGTTTGGTTTTGCAAATAAACTCACAAGTACGACGTGCAGTTTCTATGACTAGAATTTTTGAACAAATGGGAACTTTGACCAGATTCAAAGTGGGTAACACCTGCACATAATATGTAGTCATGATGTCACCAATGGATGATGATTGGGCTATGAGTCAGTGTTGAGTCAATTAACAACACATATTGTGTGGTGTACCGGTGGACCAGTGTGGGGGCGGGACTGTCCGGGACAAAGAAACGTTTGGGACTGTCCAGGAAAAAGAAACTTTTGGAGTGTGACTGGACGGTTAAGTTTGTGTAGAATGACGATGCCTGACTAACTCACTGAACATGCTGAAAGAAATATAACCACAAAATTAGTCCCTGTACTGTCCCAAACCAACCTGCCTGTTACTCCCTGTACTGCCCCAAACTGCCCTGCCTGTTACTCCCTGTACTGCCCCAAACCACCCTGTCTGTTACTCCCTGTACTGCCCCAAACTGTCCTGCCTGTTACTTCCTGTACTGCCCCAAGCCGTCCTGCCTGTTACTCCCTGTACTGCCCCGAACTGCCCTGCCTGTTACTCCCTGTACTGCCCCAAACCACACTGCCTGTTACTCCCTGTACTGCCCCGAACCACCCTGCCTGTTACTCCCTGTACTGCCCCAAACCACCCAGCCTGTTACTCCCTGTACTGCCCCAAACCACCCTGCCTGTTACTCCCTGTACTGCCCCAAACTGCCATGCCTGCTACTCCCTGTACTGTCCCAAACCACCCTGCCTGTTACTCCCTGTACTGCCCCAAACCACCCTGCCTGTTACTCCCTGTACTGCCCCAAACCACCCAGCCTGTTACTCCCTGTACTGCCCCAAACCACCCTGCCTGTTACTCCCTGTACTGCCCCAAACTGCCATGCCTGCTACTCCCTGTACTGTCCCAAACCACCCTGCCTGTTACTCCCTGTACTTTCCCAAACCGCCCTGCCTGTTACTCCCTGTACTGTCCCAAACCACCCTGCCTGTTACTCCCTCTACTGCCCCAAACCACCCTGCCTGTTGCTTCCTGTACTGCCCCAAACCGCCCTGCCTGTTACTCCTTGTACTGCCCCAAACCACCCTGCCTGTTACTCCCTGTACTGCTCCAAACCACCCTGCCTGTTACTCCCTGTACTGCCCCAAACCGCCCTGCCTGTTACTCCCTGTACTGCCCCAAACCACCCTGCCTGTTACTCCCTGTACTGCCCCAAACCACCCTGCCTGTTACTCCCTGTACTGCCCTAAACCACCCTGCCTGTTACTCCCTGTACTGCCGCAAACCACCCTGCCTGTTACTCCCTGTACTGCCCCAAACCACCCTGCCTGTTTCTCCCTGTACTGCCCCAAACCGTCCTGCCTGTTATTCCCTGTACTGCCCCAAACCGCCCTGCCTGTTATTCCCTGTACTGCCCCAAACCGCCCTGCCTGTTACTCCCTGTACTGCCCCAAACCACCCTGCCTGTTACTCCCTGTACTGCCCCAAACCGCCCTGCCTGTTATTCCCTGTACTGCCCCAAACCGCCCTGCCTGTTACTCCCTGTACTGCCCCAAACCACCCTGCCTGTTGCTTCCTGTACTGCCCGAAACCACCCTGCCTGTTACTCCCTGTACTGCCCGAAACCACCCTGCCTGTTGCTTCCTGTACTGCCCCAAACCATCCTGCCTGTTACTCCCTGTACTTCCCCAAACCACCCTGCCTGTTACTCCCTGTACTGCCCCAAACCGCCCTGCCTGTTGCTTCCTGTACTGCCCCAAACCATCCTGCCTGTTGCTTCCTGTACTGCCCCAAACCATCCTGCCTGTTACTCCCTGTACTGCCCCAAACTGCCCTGCCTGTTGCTTCCTGTACTGCCCCAAACCACACTGCCTGTTACTCCCTGTACTGCCCCAAACCGCCCTGCCTGTTACTCCCTGTACTGCCCCAACCACCCTGCCTGTTGCTTCCTGTACTGCCCCAAACCACCCTGCCTGTTACTCCTTAAATCGCCCCAAACCGCCCAAGTACTGAATGGTTTCAAGGATTTATCAAGGAGTAAAACACAATGAAACACAATGTAATTAAAGTGTTAATGGGTTAATTATTGAGGAGCAAATTTCTAATACACACTTAATCGGGGTTGATTCATTCTAGCAATGTTTTCGCCAGGGTGTTTGAGTGAAGCAGGTTGTTCAATCTTGAATTTGAGAAACGACACAGACATACAGTGGGTCAGTCAAATCTTTAATACGCTTTAATAGACCACTTGCAGACGCGATCAATAATTGACGCGCGAAGGTGCACGACGCCATGTTATGGGACAAAATGTGCTATGGGCGTCGCGCGCCTTCGCGTGTTAATTATCGAACACATCTGCAAGCGGTCTATTTGGGCTGTAAAAACTGTTTACTGATGAACATAAATGTATAACAAGTGTACTCCTAGAACTATGAGGCTCCGCTCATGCGGAGCCTCATAGTTCTAGGAGTATAACAAGTGCTGTTTCAAGTTTTCAAGTCGTGAATGATTCACGAAGCAAAGGATCGACTTGAAACACAACAAAACTGACTAAAATATGAAAACAAAACGATGATTTCGGCGGCTGAGTTGAGGCCAAATTTCACGGCCTCCGCAATTTTTAGACTGCTGGTTACAAGGTAGATTGACCTCCAGCTCTACATGTCAAATTCCCAATGAGCATTAGAGCTGGAGTTCTCAAGCTAACGTCGTTAGGCCTAAAGTAATCATCAGCCAGAATTTCCATCAGCCACATGTAGCTTAATTTTGTGGAAAGAGGGCAGGGTTTTGATTTACTGTAGGTCTAGCTATGAATGGAAATTGTAAAACATAGCTTAAACTACATGATTACCAAGCAATTTTTCAAACAATAATGTTTGACGATCCCCGCATCATGCATCCTGTATGCATCTTTCATTAATGATCACTGTTCACTGTTTCAGTCCGAGTCAGTCAGTTAGCATTGTTTTTGTTATGTTAGTGCGTGTAGAAAGGCATCTGGCTACTCCTAGAACTATGAGGCTCCGCGTGAGCGGAGCCTCATAGATCAAGAAGCCCGCAAAATTGCCTGCAGCACAAAACATTAATAAAGTACAAAAACGTCCATCAAAATGCAGCCATTTCACACAGAACCGCTGCACAGTTTGCCCCTATACTCCGTACTTTATCTCTTGACATACTCACGTATCTTGTGCGGAACTAACATGGGTGGATTCTGTCGGTTTTTAGGCCAAAATGATGAAAAATATGCCCTTTCCGCACTGAGCCAACCTGACACTTGAAACGTGCACGCATATGATCGAGCGATGATTTTCGGTTCGCTCGGAGCGCGCCGCGGGGGGTACGATACATGCACTTGTACGCATGTGCATACTATCATTTCGCTTGTACCGTACCCCCCGCGGCGCGCTCCGAGCGAACCGAAAATCATCGCTCGATCATATGCGTGCACGTTTCAAGTGTCAGGTTGGCTCAGTGCGGAAAGGGCATATTTTTCATCATTTTGGCCTAAAAACCGACAGAATCCACCCATGTTAGTTCCGCACAAGATAGGTGAGTATGTCAAGAGATAAAGTACGGAGTATAGGGGCAAACTGTGCAGCGGTTCTGTGTGAAATGGCTGCATTTTGATGGACGTTTTTGTACTTTATTAGTGTTTTGTGCTGCAGGCAATTTTGCGGGCTTCTTGATCTATGAGGCTCCGCTCACGCGGAGCCTCATAGTTCTAGGAGTAGCATCTGGCATGTCCTCTCCGCTATATTTAATCCATTAAAACAAAACAATCAATTGATCAGCAAAACAATCGGACCTACCGACAACAACCTGGCCAAGTTCGTCCTCAAGAATCGTTTTCCTTCAAACTTCGGCTGGCCTTTACTCACGCACAAACGTAGGACTTCTGCACAGACACCGACCGTCAAAAACAGGAAGAAACTCCCAACATGGCCGTCAGCGCTCTGCTGGAGTCCGGAAATATATAGGGCGCCCTCTCTCTCGCTTTCAAAGACGAAAGTTCGGCGCCCTACAATCCTGTAACCTTGATTCAAGTCGCCTGAAAAATTGGCACCCTACACTATTGTTTTTGTGTAAAATAAAAAAAAATCGCCGCCGGGGCCGCGGGGGGGGGGGGGTACAGTCGAGTCTGAGTATCACCCGTTTGAGCCAAGTCTCCTGTATTAACGTCTGATATGTCTAAACATGCAGATATCTGCAAGCTGGACGTCAGACAATCAGAGTCAACTTTACTCGAGATGGCATTTCATTCCAAATCAGGACTAAACGTCTGATTGGTCAATTCGAATGCAATATTTTGTAATACAGCAACAGCCGGACGAATATCGCGTAACCTGATACAGAGCGCGTGACGCAGGTTTTTTTTTTACATAGACTATATGGGGGGACAGTCTAAAACAAATCCAAATCCTAATCTGATAAATCAGCTATCGGGAAAGATGTTTTATAAGTTAGCTCACGTAGGCCTACTGATCACAGCGAAATTGGCGCTCTAACTGAAAAAGCAAAATGGTTAAAGAGAGTTTTAATAAGCGTTTTTGGAAAGAAAAAACACCCAAAGTAAATACAAATACCTCATACTAGCCCATTCATACATGGTATGAATGGGCCTCCGTATTTCAAGACAAATCGAGTTCGTACCCAGTGTGCTACTTGCGAGTGATTCCGATCAAAATAATTAGTGCAATGAGGAAGGTGTGAGCGCTTCATGGAAACGAGGTTGCTGGAAACGTACGGAGCACGTTTTCGCGTTTTCGCGCTGATCTAATTGCGTGCGGTACCAAAACGTTTGCAAACTCTTCTAAAAAGAAATTGATGAAAACGCTTTTCGTTTCAACAAGCTCCATTGCAAAGTGAATGACGAGGTGGTTCTGATGAAGATGCTGGCAGGAAGATGTTTGGTAAGTGCTCCTTTTTAAAGACGGAATGAAGCGGTTAAGTTTAGGAAACAGTTTGCAAACTGAATGTAGGAATGGATTGAAATGCTTCTATTTACGACACTAAAACTTTACTAGCCTAAGTAAAACTGTTCTTCACAAGTTTAACTCATATTCATAACTGTACCAATAATTGTATTTTTTTCCAGTTAGACTTTAGTATTTAAAAAATATATGTTTCACTCTTAGTCTTAGTCTTGACTCTTAATGCAGATTTATTGTTGTGTTTGTTTTGGTGTTTTCTTTTTGTTTGTTTGTCGGACATGTCGGGGATTATTTTTTGGGGGGTGGGGCCGGGGGGGGGGGGTATGGAATTCAGGTAATTTGGGGCATTCAGGTGATTGTAGTTACCGAACATGCCGGACCAACTGTCGTCAGTGTTTGTTTGGAAAAAATGTTGCAACCTGACACAACTTCCGCGCTTGTGTACAAAGTCAGCAGAGAGTCAAGACAATTTTCTAAGTATTTCCTAGCAAAATTGGAAATATTTCTCAGTCCCAGATTCATGTCTTATTATTATTGCAACGAATGACGGAAAAAATACGTCACTTTTTTTCACTTTCTTGCACTTGCGGTCAGTCTGCTCACCTAACATGCCTAAGAGTAAACATTGGACTACAACTATAATAAATTTGAAACATGTCTTGTCCATCCACAGATCACTTTTTGACGTCACGTCTCTCCCACCATGGAAGCGGATGTGAGATGGTGCCCCCACTGCCGGCAGAGCGGAGAGAAGAAACGACTGCGACTCCTTCAGATCAACGACAGCCTGGCAGTTTTGCTTTGTGAAAATGAAAAGGTTGGTGTTTATAAAATAAGAAACACTAGTCCGGTCATTTTATTTTAAAAATGAAGTAGGCAGGTCTTTTTCTTTCTTTTTTTTTGACGGTGGATTTTCCAAGATAGCGGATTGATACTTTCATTTTCTCGATTATGTTCCTGATACAAAGTTGTGTCCAAAGGAAGCATTACAAAGCTACTATTATGAAGCTACAATTTTGTTGTAAACAAATTAAAAGACATTATATACATGTGCAAAGATATGTTCAGAAAGTATTGCAAATGTATGAATTTTTAAAATATGTTAAAAACGGAGGCGAGCCTATTATGCCTATCAGAAAATGCAGTATTTTTGACTGAGGAGAACCATAAACACACCCATTCATAATCCTTTGTAGCATTCAATGAATTCATTCTTTTTTGTTCATTTCAGTGTGTGGGCCTTGGAGAGACTTCATCCACCTCCACGGTCATTCATCAGAGGAAAGCTTCGGACATTCCGAACACCAGGAAGAAGAAAAACAAACTGTTGCCTGCATGCAATGCAGCTCCAAAGATACCGGACTCGAGCCCACCAAACGGCAGTATTCAATCTTCAGACGCAGGAAATGCCGAAAGCCTTTCAGAAAAACAAGCATGCGGTACTCCAATTGATTCCAAGTGTGCAATCAACAATGCATCCCCAGCACTACGAGCGGGGAGCTTCTCGTCAACAGCCATGCCCCAGGTCGCGCTGTGGGCGAACAAGAGCGCCCTCTGTTGGCTGGACGCCTGCCTGTGCCTGCTGGTAGCGTGCCGCAGCCTGCATACCTGTGTCGCGAAGCTGCCAGCAAAGTCGTCCGTGAGAACACTCTGCACGGCGTTCGTAGAAGCTCAGAGACCGCGGACGACAAAAAAGAGCGAAACTCAGGATTCATGTTGTGACGAATCTCAGCTTTCCGAGGCAAGTGTGCTGCCCCCCGTAAGACTTACGTGTACAGGGGACACAAGTACAAATGCCGTTCATAGCAATACAGACATCACGCGGACCGCACAGTCTGAACAGGATTCACTTCACTCAACTCGTAATGCCGAATTTTGTCAGACAAAGGGAGAAAGTGATCCGTTAGACAAAGCAAGAGATGAGATTTATCGGAGGCTGCAGCCGATGATGAAATGCGAGTCAGGGGAGGAGGATTCGCCGGTGGTCGCGTTGGCGTCGTTGCTTCGACTCGACGGGAGCGTTGAGGAGCATTTCATGTGCCAATACCGATGGGAGTTCTGCTGTAGTGTGTGCGGCTTCACACAGGTCAATCGGTAAGTTTGTTGCTTAACCCTAACCGTGCTGAATGCAACAGAAAGCACAACGGTAATTAGTTGTTGCATATTGTTGCAGTTAGCAGCGCACTCAAAGTCCCCATTCTCTGTTGCATCTTGTTGCAATCAGCAGGGTAACTGCTTAGGCCAAAAAAAAAAAGTTCTGCTTCCGATTACATGCCTTTAAAAAATAGGGTCGGTCGGTCGGAATTTTTTTTTTTTTTTGCCAATTTTTTTTTATGCAGATTGAATGGGGTATTCAATTATATGCGAAGTTTTAGCCTGAACTATTTCTATTTCACTACGAAAGCTATACACGAAATGGCAACAAAAAGTGAGTAAAACCTACCTTTAATTATTGTCAATATATTTACGTTCGATAATTTCAAAAAATAATGGAAAATTCAGGCCGTTCGCACCATATGCACAACGCTAGTCAAGACGCGGGGAGCTGGCCAAAACTCCGAGGTGTGTGATGCGGACGGTGCGTGTGTGGCGAGCGGCCCACCATGGGCCGACAGACCTGTTTTTACCGTCAACAATTTCGGGAAACACGCAGCATGTATCACTCCAAATACGAGTAGTGCGATCTCAAAATGAACTCTTGAACACAGAAAATACATACACAGACAAGCTAGATCAATTCTGTAAATGAACTTGCAAAAATGTTCTTTCTCCATCGGTGTTTTCTTGGCATTTTTACGATGTCGAATCCGACCAGTTGACAGTGGCCTGCACTGTACTAGCGCGCTATCAGTCACATAGCTAGCTATGGACTGGTTACCGCATTTTCATTATGTCTTCTAAATTGGCCCCTGCGCGGCGCGGCGGGAACCAGTCGTCGCCACGTGATTATAGTCACCGTGCGTGATATCGAATTGCAAAGTAGTTATATCGCGAAGCGAATTTGTAATAACGGAGGTTTCTTTTGAAAAAAAGCGAATGTAAGTAAGAAAACAAATAAATACCAGCATTTTTGGATGCAAAAGGGTTGTTGAGAGGTATTTTGTGAAGACAGAAAAGACAGATTTTATTTGTATTTATTAATTTTTTTTATTTATTTATTTATTTTTTTGGAATTGCCGATAAAATTTTTAGGGTCGCAGCCTAAAAATAGGGTCGGTCGGGTAACCGGAAGCAGAACTATTCTTTTTTTTGGCCTTATAGAGCCAAGGCAATACAACAGAATCCACCGTTGCAGTTTGTTGCATTTAGCATGGTAACTGCTTGGTGCCAAGGCTGGTATGCACTGGGTTCACTACACAATGCAACAGAATCCACTGTTGCAATTTGTTACAATTAGCAGGGTTTTCATTTCAGCCAAGTTGCATTTTGTTGCATTTGTCGGGGTGCCTAGAAAAATCCTGTCAGGGGTTAGGGTTACAACCCCTGACTGTCTAAGCATTTTTAGTTAGGAATCATTCCCCAACCCTATAAAATCCTCCAATTGCCACCATGTAAACATTGGACAGAGCCTCAATCCTCCAAATTCATCCGTTATTTCTTGAATTTGTTCAGTGGAGTGGTGACCACTGCCTCAATCTTTCAAAATCCTCCAACAATCATCTGTGATACGTTGAGTCAGTCAGTGCTGATGATATTCTGAAGCAGTGCGGATGATTTCAAGTGTAGTCTAGGCCTAAATTTATGCAAAGTAAAGCATAAACAACAAACGGGACGGCCTAAAACGTTGACACAATGCATCCTCCAAAATGTAGTACACATTTTTTTTTTCCCGTACAGCCTCATTCCTTCAAAATCCTCCACTTGTGTGAAGAGCATTTCGAAGGATTTTCAAAGGATTTGGGAATGTTTGTGCTAAATTGGCACAGTTCTAAACCAATGAAATTACAGAGACATAATACAGCAGTTTGTGCTTTACTTCTCATTCTCTTATTTTCAGGACTAAGAAGACAATGCCAACATTCACCAGCGTGCCTGCCGACTTCAGCATGAAGGACCCAGTGATGCTGCACAGCTGCCACAAGTGTGGCGCTCAGCAGCAGAGGAGCAGACTTGTCTTTCACAGGTATGTTGAGAAACCAATGTTGTAGTCAAGTTCTTTTTTGCGAGTAGCAAGTACTGCCGAGTACTTAGAGTACTTTGATGATCAAGTACAATTTCGACATGTCAAGTACAAGTACTTTGCTGCCTGAGTACGATTACTTTGACATTCAAGTATGAGAACGAGTACTCTAAAAAAAAAGTAGAAAAACATTCACATTTGTTGGTTTTGCAGTTCGGCTACTTGCTGAAATTGGAGTTGATTAAATAAAAGTTTATTTGCTTTTTGCTTTCGTTTCAGTTTGTCAGCGTGTGTGATGATGCATTTTCAAGGAGGTCTTCCTGACAGTGACTTGTCCAAGCACCATACTTTCATCTTCAGTGGAGATGCCTACACACTTGCAGCGGTGGTCCGTTACCGTGGCAATCCAAACCATTTTGTAACTCTGGTCCGAGACCAAGAAAGTAAGTATATAAAGTTTACATTCGTTAGCTTAACCCTAACCCTCTTGGGTATTTTGGCTAAAAACCCTGCAAAACCCAGCAACATTTGTCTAAGTGACAAGCCTGCCCAGTGTAGCAAGATCCATCAGGCAAAAAATCTCAAGGCCAAACTTTCTCTGAGGCTGTGGTCCTGGAACGCAGCAGGATACAACTGTGGCATTGTTCAATGGGACTATAGGCCTTTTCACACTGTCCAAAATCTCCGGGTTGGAACCGGTTCCAACCCCGAGATTTTTTTCAACCCTTTTCCCACTTCTAAAGTTTCAACCCGGTTCCGACCCGGGTAGCGTGCTCTAGCCGGATCGAAATCAACCCTGGGAGGGACCAGGGTTGAAAATCTCAACCCGGATCGAAATTGCATTTTTCGGCGTGAACCGTGTCGAAAATGATAGTGTGAACCGCCCCGGGTTGAGTCACTCACGGCCGATCCGTGTTGAGTTGAGGCCGACATTTTACCGAAAATCTGACACGCCGAGCATAATATTTCCCTCCACCACTATCGCCGTCACAAACACCGATCCCGAAACAATCGCTCCCTAATTATCATCCAATAATGTATAGGTGTATGGAGCATCCTTTACCGAGTCTGGGCTTGTATTAGGTCCGCAAAATGTACCCCAAAAATGCACATTTCTAATGTTAAATAGAACGAATCGTCTAACGAAATGACCGGAGCCATTTTGGAAATATTGAACACAGCTGCGCTGGTGTCGTACAAAAATCGGACTCCCAAATCGGATTCGTTTACTCTCTTATTATTGGTCAAACCCTTTCACGAGACAGGTCCTTCTCCCAATAGGCATGCGCAATACTACCAATGAGTCCGTATTTCACAGAGTAGTAAATTCACGCTGCACACCGGCCTGTCCGTAACGTAAGCCTCGTGCGTCGCAATGCATTATGGGATTGAGAAAATCATCGCAGCGCCCTGTGCCGAATGCGATCCGTGTCGAGAATTTGTAGTGTGAATTCACAGGGGCCGTAGCCGGATTTAACGTTACACGGTTCACGTAGCGGCCGTTCCCGTAAAGGACAGTGTGAACGTCGCGTCTCTCCAATCCGTGTCGAAAAATACTCGAGCTGAACCGGGTTGGATCCGGGTAGGTTTCAACACGGCTCGAAACGGAGATAGTGTGAAAACGCCTTATCTGTCATTGTCTCAGAAGCAGCCGTTTATGCGCTGGTGTTGATAGCTGAATGCATCAAAGTGCACCAGACTTTTCCATCTGATGCTTTGTGTTGTGTCATGCAGGGTTTTAGGGTTCATTAGTGTAGTAACTCATTTGTGGTAATAATTGTATAAAAACCACTACTCGAGAAATAATAGAATGTGTCATATTTTGTGTGGTTTTGGCATTGACATTTTGGGTTTTATTTGTGAGTAAAAGGAATGCAACGTTCACTTTATTTACGACATTTCCAATTTTGTTTTGCAGCAAACCATTGGCTTGAGTATGACGACCTAATGCCGTCTCCCTTCACGTGGCAGCCCGAACCCCCTAGCATCCCTGCACACGAGATCCACATCATGGTCTGGGAACGCTCAGAAAAACCCTGCACAGCGTGTGCCGAAATGCACCTCAACGTCACCGGCATACTGGATGCACCAGTCCACACTCCTGCAAGTGGTGTTCCAGTGGGGGATGCAGATGCAGCACCTCAGCAGCACAGATCCGCCCAGTGGAACGGGAACGGCAGCTGGAGAAAGTCTAAGTTCTCTTTATCTAACTCCTTCTGGCGGAAAAGTGTGCAAGAACGGGACGCAACAAATCGCAGCGACAGTGGTAGACATAGTAGCGGGCCAGCTAAAGTCGGCCAAGAGACTTCTGATGCTATTGATGTCGATAAGGAGACAAACGGGTCCGGAGTAGAGATCGATCTGACAGCTGAAATGGAGTCTGCTCCTACAGTTGACGAGGGACTTGAGGAATCGAAGAGTGACTCTTTTGGCAATTTGGATCCCCAAAGTCTTTCCAAAGTCGATACCAAAGAGACTCCAAAAGTGCCAAGGAGTAACCAAAATGCAACTAAAAAGCCACAAAGAAACGCAAGGACTGAACATTTACAAGACGGCAAAAGTGTCATCTCACTAAAAACCAACGCCGCGAGGAAGCCAGAACTTAATACGGATGCTCCACAACCTACCTTCCTCAGGAGTCTCTTATGCCGGAGGAAGAGCAATAAGGATAAAGATCAAACCACGACCACCGCGGCGATTCTTGCAAAGATCCCCGACCAGCTGATGAAGTTCTCAAGACACAGCAACGTGTCGTCCCGCCCACGAATTGGAAGCGCGCCCTCAAATCAGGAAAGCACTTCCAGGAATGCGTCTGTCTTGAGCAAGATTCCCAAGCAGTTGCTGTCTGGATCTGCGAATCCTCGGGCAGCGCCTTCCCAACAAAGCCAGTCCGAACTGAGCAGGCCAGCAGCTAGGCCAAAACTGGTTGGTTCCTCACGCCGGGTACCAGTGAAGCAAGTGAAATTCCAGCCGTACGAACAGAATCTTGAACTGAAAATCCAACAAGAAAACAAGAAGAACTTGCCGGTTAAACAAGGCATCCGCAGCAACGCCAGCACCTTGAACTCTTGGCAAAAGAGAGTAGGGAAGTACTCGTCCAGCGTCGACGTTCCCAGGAAGAGAGTAAGGCGAGATAGTTCGGAAGACAGCTCCAGTACTTACTCTGACCTGCCGAAGCACGCAGGACCCCCGTGCTCCTCGGTCTCAAGCCCCAGCGCCTGCTCGGATATTAGCTCCCTATCGGACAACCAGTTGTTTGCAAGTGGAAGGAACGATCTGACTAACACGATAGATGAACTGTGCAAGGTGCTGGACATCGGCGGCGATTATACTCCACCTGTGAGTTCGCGGCTCTCGAGTCCATCCCAGGACATGTTCTTCTCGGAACTGTTTACGAATGAACCAGTATCGGAAAGGCTTGACCCAATCTCACATGCGAACAGTACTGGACTGCAGATGCCCCTGGCATCTTTTGATAATCACGCACCAGTTACCATGGCAACAGAGATGTCAGCAACATCCTCAACGTCACATACCCACTTACATTCCTCAATACATGAACACTGCCCTAGTAGTGTCACAGCGCCCTCTGTTGAAAGTTTTCGACCAGCTGCAACAGCGCTAAGTACGTCCACGCCCATGGGGAGTAACAAATTACAGACTGATCTAGCAGCTGCAAACATCTCATCTCCAAACCCATTAGAAGGAACACTGCCCTCTGTTGGTACTGAACGTCTAGCTTTGGCACCAGTTGGCTGCCCAGCACAATCCCAGTCTGCAATGCTGCCCTCTTGTGACTCAATGCAGTCAACCATAGACCCTGTCGCTATGCAACAAGACTCTGACAGGCCCATGCAACACGTTGACAACAGTCCTGTATCGCATGTAGCGTCACACGGCGATCACATGACCGCGGCCAGTGGTTTCAGTTCGTTAACAGACACAGAATCAGAAAGGAATATCATGGCCTTTTCAAGCAGTACTCACTGTGAAGCTGCCCAAGCAATGGACGATATAATAGACACAGGGTTGTTTGAAGATATTCAGGAAAGCTTGGATATGTTAGGATCGGAATGGAACGAGAATTTGATCGAGTTACTCGCACAGTGATTGACCTTTTTTTTTTTCTTGGAAACAATTTTTTCACCCACTTAAAATATCAAGGGAACCAAAATTTAATTTATACATCATTACTTGTAATTTTGTGAACTGACAACCCTTTGCATAACTGGAAAAGAAATTACACAAAAGGACATTGTTTTGTCCAAATCAAATAAATCCACTTTTCATCAAAGACATTTTTTGAGGTGGTTTTGAAATAGATCCATTTTCCATTGGTTCACTTGTAAGTAACTTAATTATGCAGCACAAAAGTTGGTTCATGATGATAATTGTGTACGAGTTTTCAGTGACAAAAAGTGGAGTCGACCAGTGTTGATTGTAGAATTTAATTATTTCACTAATTGATTCTATTCAGAACCCAATTTCACGGCTCTGCTAACCACAGAATTCCGCGCTTAGATCACAATTCTGTGCTAACAATGCTAGCACAAAAAAGTCTGTGCTAACCCAGTAAGCACAGAATCATGAGTTACAGAATGTACGCCGCGCATAAGCCAAAACTCTAAGCCAATCTGTTAAATATGCTTACCATAAGCAATTTTCTGCTACAGGTAAGCGTAGATTTTCAGAAACGGTAAGCAGAACCATAAAAATTGGGCCCTGTTTTCTGGCAGAAGTGAAGCCTTTTAACTAAATGATGGGTTCCCTAATCATTTTACTGTTCAATTTCTTGAACCGTTTAAGATGATTTCATCATTCAAATGCATGTCTTTTAAGATTGAAGAAAATGAATGTCTCAAGAAACGTAAAATTGAGAAACAATTTCTGCGTAAATGAATTCCGTTCATATTTCAGACTTGTCCCTTATTGTACATCTCTAACATTGAAAATATACAAGTTGCTGTGAATTCTAAAAGAAATAAAAAAACATAAATATCAAGTTGAAATGGTTAAATAAGGCATATGAAAACCATTGATAAGTATTAAACCACCTTCCTACTATGCCTTTTTTTCAAGCTTTGAGTTCTAAAATTTCAACTGAGCTGTTAAGTGTACAGTGATGGCGTTTTGTACGGGGAAAAAAGTATGTAAACAAAGTTAAAAGTCCCTACCGAAATCCACACTAGATTAAAAACCACATGTGCTTTGTACGTTTACTTTCCAGATATGTTGGTTGCATTTGATATGTTTTTATACCACTGTATGATGCCACTCAGATCTTGTAATTAAATGATTTTGTATTTATCTTGAATAAAATTTAGTTTTGAAGAAAACAAAGCAAAAACAAATTTGTGAGATATGTTGTGCTGTTTTTCAATTATGCAATAATTTAAAGGTAATATACAACATAATGCTTTTGCTGTAATTTTCACAAAGGGATGGATTTTGGGGTAAGAATTTTGTGGGAAATATTGTTACACTGACCGGACTTGTGGAAGTACACAATTCAGAGGCGGATCCATGAATTTATTGGGGGGGGGGGGGATTTCATACCATCATTAACAATATAAATTTATAAAGTATAAATGTTGCCGTAATCCAGTTGCCTCTGTCCAAATTTTGTGCACAGGCGGACACACCTATCTTTTTATTTGGGTGTCGAGGGGGGGGGGGTCGCATTATTTAGTATGTATTTCTATGGAAAAAATTGAGTCAGAGTCCCCCCCCCCCCCCCCCGCGCTGCCCAAAGAACATCTTTATTAAATGGGCCTTATTCACGAGTTGGCCATTTTTGTCGAGTTCCGTGAATGTATTTCATTAATTGTTAACAGTTGATCTTTGAATTGGGATGGCGCCAAGTTATTTATGCAGGCACAATGCAGCTATATTTTACAAAATGTACTGTCATTTTTTTTTTAAATCTGGCTTTAAACATTAGGGAACGTTTAATTAGACATTTGAAATTATTCATTTGAAGCAGATTGGAAATAATTTGTAATTAACTTGCTTTCATTTCTCTACACAAGTTCCAAAATTCAAGATTTTACCTCACTCTCAATGAGGACCCTTTGCCAACAAGATTATATTGTCTAGATTTGTAAAAGGAAAAGAGAAAGGGCACTGAACTAACTTCGAGTTGAATTTCCAAACAATTTAGGTGTTCTACTTGAACTCGCATAGGGCGTGGAGGTCGGCTTTTTTACCCAAAGAAGTCAAAAGTCAAAATCTGCTACACAATGTTTTGAATAAGATGAAATGTGCACTCAACACTATGCATGCACTCCATAACAGAAGGTCCCAAATTGGTCGTTTGTTACTCTCAATCTACCCGTGGGGTAGACATGAAGATAGATTGGCTTCCTGGTTGTCATGGTGATCATAATTGAGTGAGTTTTAAAGTTTTAGAGGACAGAACTATCAACTTGAATAGTTAGTTTAGGCCCCACCCCAAAAAATGGGGAATCTAAATCGGACAATGAAAAGAAACCAAATATTATAATCTTTTCTCGATAAGCATATTTCAATAAACTAATTGAATCATGGAGTATGACAAGTGTCTTTTTTAATTTAATTTAATGCTAAAAAGCATCAGCAATTATCTCTTTCTTTTTGCAATTGTCCACGTATGAATTAATTAAAAAACTTTTTGCACAATGAGCCTTGATTGGCCAAACAAATCTGAATATTCATGATCTACAAAACCGCAGTCTGGTTACGCATAGCGCATGCGCATAGCATCGAATCGGCAAGACGAGAAACTGGAGGACTTGGCAACGAAGGTAAGGATAAATTTCTGGATTTTTCCCCGATTAATAAATTGACATTCTTAGGTGAATGAAAGCACTCATTGCTTTACAGATTAGAGCATAATATAAGGCCATTTTTTGGTCGCGAAAACACTGAAATCGAACAAAACGGACGTACGGTTGTCTGCAAGGTGGGCGTTCTGTCATTGACTGTGCAGCAGTGGCTGATGACGCCGGCCCTTCACCGCCGGCACGTGTCGGCGTGCACGCTGAGCGATGTGTGGTCGGACTTGGGTTGTTTCTCGTGTATTTTCATTCTCAATCGACATGCCGAATTGCTTTACAGCTACACTAACAAGGGGTATACTGACACTATGTATGGAAGAAGGTTCCTCCATGCTAGTTTTGAAGGGAAAAAAATGTTGCAACGCCACTTCTTTTTCTTCATAATCTCAATGAGGATTAGGTCATTCATTAAAAAGAATCATAATTTCATTGCAAAAATGATGATAAGACATGTCATGAATCTGGGACTGAGAAACATTTCCAATTTTGTTACTGTTAGTGTTACTAAAGTGTTAGGAAATACTTCTTGACTCTTCATAGACTTTATACACAATCGCGGAAGTAGCGTCAGGTTGCAACATTTTTTCCTTAGTTTCGTCCTTTAATATTAGGCTCAATGATGGTCGGTCCATGGTCCAGCATGCAATTGCGAAACAACTTTGGGAAAAAAATCCATGCCCATACCATGACGACCGTAGACTTTCCAATAATTTGTATCGGGACACTACACGACATTGTTTCTGTTGGTCTATGGCTAAACTGTTGAACTGGTTGATATATGTTAATATTTTATAAATGTAAAAAACAACTAGGCCTAAACTGAATTTGAAGAAATGGGTTAAAATTTTAAAAAGGCATAATACAAATTTATGCCAAATTATAAAATAAAAAGGCGATTTAAGATTGGCTTTAGAGAAAATAAAACTGTTCAATATTTGAAAAGCAACACTGTAATTTTGCCTCCAAGATTTGGCCTATTTAAGAGGCTTTTTAAACTACACTCAAATTACATTTGAACTTCCTCTAGGCTTCAAGTCTAGTTACCATCCATCCTTTGCCTTTTATTATAAAACTTGTAAGTTGTATTCTTGGGAAGAATGTTGCAACCTGATGCTGCTTTTTTCTTAAATTTCTTTATATAACATCTCAATGAAGGTCAGTCATTGCAAAAATGATGATTAGACATGAATCTTGGACTGAGAAACATTTCCAGTTTTGTTAGAAAATACTTACAAAACTTTTCTTGACTCTCCATAGACTTTATACACAACCACTGAAGTAGCGTCAGGTTGCAACATTCTTTCCGTATTCTCCACTACTATGGAAAGCCTTCTGTCACAATTGCTGAGCAAAAATATTGTTCAGGTTTTAAATTGATTCTGTGTCTCTGAAATTGGCATCTGTTGGAGTCATGTTTACTGCTGAAAATGAATTTCTGTCAGTTGTGGACAATATTGATAGTGATACGGAATCACGGATTCTTGGATGGGATGAGGTTTTTTTGGGGGGGGGGGGGGGAGTTCTCGCAAAATTTGTATTGGCCTAATTTTTCTGTAATGCTACACACGATCTGTGTACGTATTGAGTTATTGTTAAAAAGCTTGTACATGTGGGTCAAGAGCTATGATATGAAAATTTACTTGTTGATATCGATGTGATAAAGCACATACGTACAGATAAAAAAAATCAATTAATTAGCGAAATGTATGGGCTTCATTTTTTTGTACTTTACTAATCATGATCTGTGTACATATTAAGATATTGTTGAAAAACAACATGTATGTGGCCTACAGTATACGTGTACATGTAGGTCAAGAGCTATGATATGAAAATTTACTTATGATATTGATGTGATAAAGCACATACTGACAGATAATATTTTTTAATTGATTACATGTTTTGAATTTTGGGGGAAATTTTTAAATATTTGTGATTTGCACTTTTCGTTCAAACTTCTGCTTTGCAGTAATTTTTTTGTTTTTTATTAATGCCATGATAACTAGTCAATCCCCACAAAAGCACTCGTGATGTGATAAAATATTGTGTTGAAAGTGCGATCGTTGTGGGGCAACACCGAACAGCCGAACAATTAGAAAGATAAATGCGAGATCCCCATTGACAAATGTTCGGAAAGCCATAACTCGGGCTAATTTATCATTGTTACACAGGCAGTCCGTCTGTGTTTGCGCAGTCGCGGCTTGGTGAGCATTAACAAACAATGGTGGGCTAGTGGATGCGTGACCCCTGTTAACTTCTGTGACATTCGGGGTCTCAACTCGGCCGCACTGAAGTGGCATTTGGACTAATTCAGACAATAGGAACTGGGCTCATCGTCTTTGAAAGTTGCAGACTTTGACTCCCGAATTATGAAATGCGTAGTTGCGTGCCTGCCAAACGTGTTTGTGTCATGACTGTTCGTGCGTTTTGACGCGGATGCAAATATTTTTCGGAAGGGTTTGACAAAGAGCAATCGCGCCGACTGGCGCCGTCGTGAAGTCATTACTTTGACAGGTTTCACACCCATATGCAGTGTGAAGCGCTGAGCCTTTATGGGCTATTTCATGACAGAATGGCTGTTTGTGATTCATTGTGAACTTGTGTCTGGGTGAGAACTACGCCCTACTATCATGGCAACTGCATACCTAAGGCCAAAAAAAAAAAGTCTCCGGTTTCTGGTATGGAGCTTGTCCAAAAAGTGGTGCGGCGACGCGTTTTTTTTTTTTTTTTTAACCCGACTTTTTTGCTTCAAATTTGCTTCAAATGTCGGCTGATGACTGCAAATGGTGCCTGACTAAACTTAGTGCAAATATATGGGAGTCCAGAGAGGCCACATAAAGCTTATTCTCGATCATAACCCCATCTAAAAACACGTTGAAATTGCGCAGCAGCAGAATTCCAGTCAAACCAGTGAGTTTGGCGGTTTTGAGACATCATCTTTTATTGAAAAAAAACCTTTTTCATTTTGCCGATGCGCATGGCTACGGCGACGCGCGCGCATACCAGAAACCGGAGACTTTTTTTTTTTGGCCTAACCTGGGCTTGTTTAGGATGGAGATTTCTTAGTAATTATATTTTGTTAGGGATGGAGATTTCTTAGTGATATTGGAAATGTGTGTGTTTCTACTGTGCATGGCGGGTATTTGCTTCACTCACGCCGTATGTACAGACACAATGCAAATTACAGACCAGAATCTGGTCTTGCAGAAGTGGCTGTTGTTGCTTGTGAATTTGAATGTTTGTTTGTCTTTTCTTTTTGTGTTCTTTGTTTGTTGGTTTGTTTTCTAAAACGACAAGTCACTTGACTAACATGTAGAAACGTGTTGTTTGCACATCTGCACAGTTCCAAGTTCCTAGAGGATGGAGACTTTGTAAATCACCTTTTAAAGATATAGTCCATCATTTGTAATTTGTGCATTTTGTTCGTTTGAAGCAACAAAAGTGTTCAAAATCCAAAGAAGGATACTGAACAACTAACCTGATGAATTTTCAGCTAAGCTTCAGCTGTATATTCCGAGAAAAACAGCATTCTAGGATCT